GTTTTATCCAAATGTTCTTCATAATTGCTTCAATAACTGTAATCTATAATTAAAAACATATTCTTCAATTATAAAGATAATGAAGCTTTTCAGCATTTAACAAAAAAAAAAAAATATATATATATACACATTCTGGTAGCCTGATGTAACAACTTGCACATAGCATGAACGAAAAGCATGAATCATTCCAAAACATGTGCCTTCCGATCAGTTACTTTCCACTTATATGCTATATTTCTCTCTGATAAAATACTATATCCAAACATTATGGGGAAAAAAAAAAAAAAAAATAATAATAATAATTATATATATATATATACGGTCTGCAACATTGCTCAATCAGTTCCCACGATCGGACAATCTGAGATGGCCTCTAGCTCCATACGTCTCTGATGAATAGCGTTTCTGGTTAATCATTTTCTTGACGTAGAGCTCGGCTTCTCCCGGTGTCATCCCACCTTCAGTCTGGCAAATCTGGATAATCGCAGTATGGACATCTCTGGCCATCTTCTTAGCATCACTGGAATAAAACGAGACTTTATTAGCTCTCGTTTGGATATCCCCCCCCCCCCCAGAGAAGTTAGAATTTAAATTCACGTGCAATTATGACAAAGATTGAATGTTCACTTAGGAAGGATTAATTGAAACATGTCGATTACATTAATTACAATCTAAAGGTATTTTTCTTATTTTCCCCCTCTGTTCATAACCCCTGGATCTTTTAAAAGAAATACAATGTCTAATAATATTAAGTTGCCTAAAATTAATAAACTATCATGGTTTTATAAAAGGATTCTTTCACTTACCCACAAACATACAGATGGCCTTTTCTTGTCCAATAATACGCCAAACCTCAGCCTTGTTCTGTTCAAGCAGGTGTGTTACATATACCTTCTCAGCTTGATCTCGGCTGAAGGCCAAATAAAGCTGAAAATAAAATAGAATTATCAATATAAACAGGTTTTCTGAAGATGCAACTATGGAAAAATAGAAAGAAAAAAAATCCAGCTCTGTATGTCCCTTTTCATTCAGACTATTTACAAAATTGTGAGGAAGCATCCTAAATCTAAGCTAGTTAGTGCATCAATATACAAATGGATTACCTTCAGAAGGCCTGAGTCCTTTGCTTCATTCAGTTCATTCTCGTACAGGTAATCAATCGCCTTGTTCCGACATCCGAAGTATAATACAGTTTCACCAACAGGCTTTCCTGTGAGACAATGATTATCAATACAATAGACTGTTTAGAAAACTATGTTGTAATAAATTTCTATACTCATTTCCTTAGGTATGGGAGCGCTCTTATCAAAAAGGACTATATTTTGAAACTCTCAAATTTGTACTTTACTAGTGTCTAAATACACCAACATTTCCCCCCTTTAGCAAATATCAAAACAATATCAATGTAATACAAAAAGTACAATAAAATATTCTTTATAATATTATGGAAATAAAAACAAAAAAAATAAGGCAAATATTTCTGATTATATTCATGACTATTTTGCTACGTATTTTCCCTCAAAAAAATATTATTGTATCAAGCCTCAAATATTACAGTTTTCATTCAATAGTCATTTGTAATTACCTTCTTGACGCTGCCAACTCCTCTCTTGAATGAAGCCACGGAAAGGTGCCGATACCTGTGCCAGTCCTATCATGATTATAGGTGTCTGTGGCTTACTTGGTAACCTGAAAGTAAAAAAAAATTCAGTGCCTGTTCTTCATAAAACTTCCTGTTCAAAATCAATACTAAGAGTCTATTACATTCTTGAAGTTAAAAAAAAAGAAGAACGAAGAAAAAGAAAAAAGAAAGAAAGAAAAAAAGAAAAAGAAAAGAAAAGAAAAAAATACAGCAAAGACTTCTGATACATTTCACTGACTACTTTATATCACAATTAGACCCTTCAGTGTTCTCACCTGAACTGTGATTTTCTGACGAAGATTGGCACATGATACTTGGTGTCATTCTCTGGTTTCAACTTGTACAAGTAGTTTGTGCAAACTCCCTTGTTGTTCTACCAGTTGGGGTTTCGTACTTCAGCACATTCGCCGTTACTGGATTTGTTGGATGGAGCTTTCAGAAGATGTAAACACTCATTTCAAAATACATAGTAATAATAATGGACTCTATATCAAGTGCTAATCAGCAAATGCATATTTCCAGAAATGTGTACTTCTTGTACTCTTAATGTTACACATCATTTATTCACAGCAAAAATCCTTGGCATTCCTCAAAATCTCTACCTTTCCAGAAGATGATATAGAATAGTATCTGGCCTGGAGTCTTGGCAACAACTCGCAGATGTGATCCAGGGCGGTTTGCAAGATGGCAAGTCCTCCAGAATGTGGACGATACTGCGGACATCATTTACAATCCACTTCTGATACTCCATCTTGCCCTCGTCACATGTACTACTCATAAGTTTAAGCTTCTCCTTTTCCTGCAGAGAAGTAATAATGACTGTCAAACTGTCTTGAAAGAGTTCAGTGTTTAAAATTCTATGAAATGCAATAAAATCTTGTTGAGAGAAAAACAAAAAACATTAAAAACTAATAATAGCTTTCTTCACGTTCTATATCGCTTCTATGAATAACCAAAATCATGTTTAACAAATCAATTCAACTCAATACAGTGTCTATAACATAGAATATTGTACTTGCATCTCCAATAGCTACTTACTACAGATCTGATGTGTACTCAGCTAGTTCCTTGAGCACATGGGTTCTTGGCAGTGCTGTGATATCTACATAGTGTGAAAGAGCTGTGCGGTATGTACAGGGCAGGGAAGGATGTTTCTTGCTGCTGTCTTCATCTACATTTGTTAAAGAGAAAACTCTGTCTGGATCTTCATTGGTTAGCTCCAAAAGGCGGTTCACAAGAGCCGTGTCATTCACTGGGTAAACTGCTACATGGTCACCTGAGTCATATCTGGAAAGTGAGAGAACACATTTCACCAAGTGCTGACATTGGAAAATTTACACAAAAGGATTCAGACTATGCACATGAAGGCAAACTCTCACTCACTCTCTCACTGACTGACTGACTCTCTCTATCTCTATCTCTATCTCTATCTCTATCTCTATCTCCCTCTCTCTCTCTCTCACACTCACTAACACACTCACTCACTCTCTCACTCACACTTTAAAAAACTGAGTATATTGACAGAATCTGCTATAGTATCTGCATACCTTATCCTTGAACCTTCAACATCCAGCTCAATATGCATGCAGTTTCGTTCTCCACCGTTAAAGAGCTCCCTGTTAACAACGATCTCTGCCATGAAGGGATTTTTGGAGTCGAAAGGTGGCTTCTGGTTGCCAATCTATAAGGTCAAAAAATAAATCCAGTAAGTAGTATATGATATTACAAGCAAATATAGGACACAGAGGGTTGTTGTCATCAACTATATATCATATCTGACATCAGCGAAATCTGTACCTTCAGGGAGTTGAGTCGAGCAAACTCTCCCGTGTACAGCTGAGAAGGTTCGTACTCTTCATGAATCTTTAGTTTGTACTGTCTCATGTTGATATCCAGTGCTTGGCCTCAAAACCAAGGAATTCACACACCTGTAGAAGATAAAGTTAATCAATTAATCATTCTTGTCCACCAAGGATGATGAATCCATCAAAACACACTCGGGAATATGAGAAAAGAAGAAAGAAGAAGAAAAACGAAGAAGAAGGAGAAGAAGAAGAAGAAGAAAAATGTATGCATCAAAACATACCGAGGAATATGAAAGAAGAAAAAGAAGAAAAATATAAGCATACACTATCATATTAATCCTACATGGGAGAGCACACACACACAAATGAAAAAATAAAAATAAATAACTTAATAACTTAAAAGCAATAAAAACTAAATATGGGATAAAAACGTATCAAACCAAATATCGAAATCACAGCTGAAATACTCATAAAGATCTACCATCTTTACCTTAGGCCACATAGCATCCTTCCATGTGATGAAGTCGTCTTCCATATTCGCATCGTCATCACCCATGCCGAGCTCGAAGACACGGGTCGCCCCCAACTCTGCCAGTCGTTTGTCTACGTATTTACCCATGGCATTGTAATGTTCATAAGTTTTGTTACCCAAGCCAAACACCTGTCGATCAAAGGAAAACATAAATAGTGGAAATTCATTGTCCTTATATCATACAGTATTTTTACAAAAGGATACAAAATGTATTATAATTTTGGATATAACCTCTGAATCATTATCTTTTTTTTCCTGTACTCATAAATTCATCTCTATTATATCCAGCTACTTATCGACATAATATTCAATAAATTCATCAATCAAATAAAGCTTTTGTTTATCTAACATCAACATTTCTCTCTTAACAAACAAGCAGTTTAGCCTTCCTACAAATTTCCGCGCAAATCAATCAACCTACCGTATACTGCAAACCATCCAGCTGGTCATCACCATTCTGGGGAACTCGTAAAATTCTTGTGCATTGTCTGTAGGGTCTCCTTCACCATACGTGGCAACACAGAAAACTGCTAGTGATTTTCTATCTCTGTGAGCTGGGCGAGCTCGGACATATCACACTCTTCGGGGTCTGCTACCATACCTGGTGAAATTTGTTAAGTTTAACAGTCACTCTCATTTCCCAACTGTATAAACATGGACTAGAATACTGACTTTCATTACTCGAAAGTCACTCTCTCCTTTTCTTTTCTAATAGTAAAAACTAATGGATTTTCAGCTTGGGGATATTACGCATAATAAATAAGACATAAAATCATATTAAAATCAATACTTAAAACATGCATGCTTACAAAAATAATGAAATCAAAACTTGGTTTTTATCAGACAGTGGTTAAGCCTGATTAATAATACTAAAATGGAATAATGATAATAAAATAAAAATCAAATTATGAAAAAAAAGTGCATAATGAACTCAGACTAACATAACAAAGGCATCAATAAAACATATCAATTAATATTCTAATAGCCACAACAACCAGTTTTTCTCACTTTCATTCCCCATTTGTGGCATCCTTCGCGAGACGACCTGCAAATTCTTCTGCTGTTCCCGTCTGTGATCCATAAAAAACAATAACGTTCCTTCCTGACGACTTCATCTTGGCTACGAAGTTGCTGTCATTTGTGCGCATCGGTAATGAGGTTGGTCTGCAAAGAGAGAACCCTTACTCTGTGTCTCACTGGAAGATGAAGATGAACAAGAAGAAGAAAAGGAAGAAGATGAAGAAGAAAAAAAAAAGTTTAAGGGATTAATAATTTCTAACCCTGCAAATTGAAGATTTGATGCTACTTTACTTTTTAATCTTATCTATCTTCCTTATTATTTCTTATCTATCTTACATATGTGTCTTTTTTTTTCTTTTTAAAAATATGACACTACAATCAAAGATTAAAAGGAACCAGCTACATCAAAAACTCAAGATTAGTCCTACAACGAAAGCTTTACCAGACTACAAACCAATACTTACGATATCGTAAAGCTCTTCAAACTGGGACTTCATCTTTTTTGTTAGTGTCGCGGAGGAAGAAATAGTATACTGACACACCCGCAAGAAGGGAAAGCAATACCAAATCCAGCATTCCCACCAACGGCTCCTCTGCCATCTCCTCGGCAGCAGACGACGCAGCGTCTACCAATCTCTCTGTGCTCTCCTCCATTCTGAAACAGATTTTTAAAATGATATAAGAACATATTAAAGGAAATGTATTCCCCAGTTGGTTGGGGTGTTGAAGCTATTACTTTCAAAAGGTTTATTACATCACATCTAATGAGATATATCAGTGGAACTAACCAATTATGGACTATATTCAATATGACAAACTTCGAACGTGACGCATTTTTCTAAGACATCTTTTTTTTATTACTTCTCTTTGCCAGATGTCACCAAATATAAGGTCACTAAGCCACAATAACAATAAAAAAACATTTTGCTTCCTGGATTCCACAATGAGGAAAAAAAGCGAGACTGAGGTGATAATGAAATGAAAGAAAGACACAAAGATTCAAAATTCAAATCTTTTCTGGAGTTTTCATTACTATATATGATGAGACTAATATCAAAAGGCAAATCATACTTTGGTGAATTTATCAAACTGCATTTCCAAAGGCAGTCATAGGACAAAACCCAGTATCACATATCCATCATTTGCAGTATACTCTCCGGCATTTGCATCTGGATTACACAGAGAGTTTGAATACTACTGATAGTAATGATCAAAATGGTAAAACTGCTTAACTCTTTAGACATTACCACAAATGACAATGATGGCATATTTACTATCCCTTCAGTGATGGGCACATTACTGCTGTCATGATGTAATGGCCTGTGACATATATACACATCATGACTCGCAAAGAGCAAGCCGCTAACACAGCTTAGGCCTAGCCACAAAGTCTAGACTTGCGTCATATCCCATCACAAAAAATCAGGCCCAGTCATCATAGGGAGATATATATATATATATATATATATATATATATATATATATATATATATATATATATATATATAATATATATATATATATATAAATAAATATATATGGTTCCTTTTTCTGTACATCATACTATAATATGTATTTAACATAACCTTTTTAGATGAATGAATGGTTTAATTTGTAATGCCAATATGGTAAAAGATTAACTGCTATGTTCAAGTGCAACATTTCAAGGCAGAGTTCTGATAACAAACATTCAATTCAAGATAAGAAAATGATGAAATGACATAAATGCAACTCAAGTGGTACAAAGAAAAAAACATATTTCATGTGTTGTGTGTGTGTGTGTGTGTGTGTGTGTGTGTGTGTGTTGTGTGTGTGTGTGTGTGTGTCGTGTGTTGTGTGTTGTGAAAGAGAAGAGAGAGAGAGAGAGAGAGAGAGAGAGAGAGAGAGAAGAGAGAGAAAGAGAGAGAGAGAGGAGGAGAGAGAGAGAGAGAAGAGAGAGAGAGAGAGAGAGAGAGAAGAGTGAGAGGAGAGAGTGAGAGAGTGAGACGAGTGAGAGTGAGAGTGAGAGTGAGAGTGAGAGTGAGAGTGAGAGTGAGAGTGAGAGTGAGAGTGAGAACATCCAAATACACATACATACATATATACATATATATATATATATATATATATATATATATATATATATATATATATATAATATAATACATACATACATACAATACATACATACATACATACATACATAATACATACATACATACATACATACATACATACATACATACATACATACATACATACATACATAATACATACATACAACACACCACACATACACAAATCTAAATAGCCTATGATAGGAATTGCACTCTGATGGGTTTACATATCTAATGCTACCATTAACAAAAGGCACTAGATGAGCAAGATTCCGTGCACTAACTCAACTGTCTACCCTTAACCCATTGTCAGCGGGTGACATGTACGCACATGCCATGGCTGCTTGTGGACAAAGTAGCAGGTGGCTCATCGGATGGAGCTTGTTTTTCTCCGGTAGTTGTGGCATCATCTCTATGGTAAAACTTTTAGGCAATAGCACCTAAGGTGAAGATGATCCTTTAAAATATTTAAATTTCTTTAAAATGATATCAAAATAAAAGCTTTAAGGTGCTTCATGTTACTCGCAACCAACGGAACCAGCCTGGCGCGCAAATATGGGAAACTGTCATTACCCGCTAACAACCTCAAGATCATGTCCACTTGCCAAACTTTTTTGGGTTAACAAAGAAAATTATTGTTCTATACCAGTAGTTCCAAACTGTGGGCCTTGGCCCCCTGGGGGGCCATAATCTGAGGACTATATTATTAAATTTCTTCAGTATCATTTCAAAAATGTCTTTATTACTACTTCACAAAAGAACAAAAACCTTGCAAGAAATCAATAAAATCTCAGGAATTGCTAAAGGTTTATATATGGACCTATTGAGTGTAGGACTGTAGTCATTGTAGTTATGGGTTATGCCCAGCGGTGCATTTTACTAGCTTTCCTCAATATGTTCATTGATGAAATAGTTGTTTGATAATGAAAGTCTTTAATACAATATCTCCTTAAATCTGCTGGTGAGCCCTGAATTTACATTCTTAATGCACTGTTTTTCAGCAAAGGAATCATGGATTGTAAAACTGGAAGGGTAATGTTATCTATTTCCAGGAAGCATCGTGACCCCTAAACCCCCCTAATCTCATACCCATTGTTATTATGGGAAGGGGAGTAGGAGATAGATACTGAGGCCCAATGTAAGGGATCAGCCCTCGCCTCAACTAATTATGCATGGAAATTTTTTACTCCACCATACTTTTTCCTTCTCGTCTTCATTCCCTTCTTCTGTCTACATCCTAAAGCGAGAAGGCCGTGCTGAAAGGATGAGAGGCTGCACTTCAAACATTCCCACCCAGCCTGACTAAACTCCAATGAACCTCAAGGGGCAATAATAATCCTTTCATACCCCCCAGCCACGCACTTAGTTCCCATGGTCACACAAACACACCTCTACTGACCCTATCCCGATAACATGACCTTATGTGATGCAGTGCAGCCACATGAGCTAAATGAATCCACCCCTTACTATGTATCTCTTTCACTAGAGGTAAATGCTCTACATCTATCTCTTGGATATTTAAGAATAACTTTTATTTATATATTTTATTTTTTTCTATTTCTTGCGCATGCAGAAAGTTTTAATGTCTTCATCGAGTAATTGTCAGGTGAAAGATTCACATGTCCCAGCATAAAGAATGAAACATATACTCATTCATATTCTCTTCCATTCATACCTAAAATAATCATAAAAAAAAACACAAAAACTAATGGGGTAGAGAAATGGAAAGTAAAACAAATTATGGGGAAAAAAATGGAGATATGAAGTAGCAAGATTGCATCATTTTTCCCCTTCGGTTTTCCGCTTTTGTAAGCAATGATCAACATGTACACGCCATTCCTATTACCATGAATTACACCTGATGCCCTATAGATGAGAACAGGATCATATTTAAAAAGTATGGCAAAAGCTGTAGAAAACACACACACACACACACACACAAAAAAAAAATACCTAGGAGAGGTAATATAAAGAAGAGAGAGAGTGAGAGAGAGAGAGAAAATCTGGATAAAGTCAAAGTGAGGTCACAAATGGTTTATCAAGGGCTGACAATCTATGCCCACGTGGCGAAATCCAACGATGCCCTAGTTTCCATGCTTTGTGCGCTGGCAAAAGTAAACTGACCTGAATCACGTACATTCTAGCATGAAAGAACTTGCTAACGTCCCTGGCTTTATATCAGCAAATAAGGAACTAGTCTATACTCATGGGGAGTTCACTGGCCTTTGCTGGAGCCTGAAATGTAGAAGCCGTTGCATTGCTTCATGCACACATCGTCTGAATAATTGCCTATTTCCTTTTAAATCATATAAATAATTGCCTACGTCTTTTTTTCCCATTATCTGAATAATTACCTATATCTTTTTATGTGCAAAAAATTACCCTACTTCAATTTACAACAGTCTGCTTATGTTTCATCATAACCATTCACCTTTATTATAATGTGAAGATACTGTGCAATATCTCCAGGATAAAGCTGTACCCATAGTTCTGTAAAATACCAATCTTTTATCATTTTATTCAATTTTTATGGCATGGATGCAATAATTTGGGGCAAACTGAATATGATATTTTGTAGAGGACAAAATGTTGCAGTTGTCAGTACAATATATAATCTGCAGACATGTTTGGTAATGACACGAATAAAGGTAAAATATCACGGAAAGTGCCGCTCTCAGCCAAAGTCCACCCGGTGCTCCCGAGTTTCAGCTCTTTCTTGCCTTGCACACCAAGGCATAGCCACCCCCATCAACTCTCCCCTCAGGCAGTACTTGAAGGGCATGCCCAGTCACAAGCAACTTAGACTGATGAATAAATTTACTGACATGGAGTTGGGGTCAGTCACTGGCGAGTATATCCATACTGATAGAATGACCATCATTTCTCTCAAGTTTGATGCTAATACACATACCTCACTTGAACGAGCAGTAACTGTTTATGAAATGCTGCACCCTCTCAGATCAAGTTCCTACAATTCCAGCTAGAAAGTTTGGCGTCACTCCTGGGAATCAACAAATATGACAATACAAACTAATAACCTCCCTAATCCTACCTAATAGCCATTTTCCCAATTTGAAATAAAGAAATATATAAGGAATCAAGTGTCTTTTTGTAAGTGATAATGACAAACTGACTTTCAAACTTACAACTGCAAAGGCAGTTTATGTAGGGTTACCATGTAGATAGACTGTTCACTGTATGTCAAGGCAAGGCCAGACTTAGTCTCTACACAGCATTTGTTGCTGATCATTTTCTTCATTTCCAATGTTATTCTTTACCTTTGCCAATTTTATCATATATCAATGTATGTAGTTTTTCCATTTCTTTGATCTTTATAACATTAACAATTACACAGAACAGATCCCCATTTGTATTTTGTGCTTCGGCAGATATAATCTGGCCATCTAATACTGAAGTCTAGTCCCTCACTTGCTAATGAACTACCACGGAAGTTGTCAAGTTCCATCTTGTAAGAATATCAATCGAGTTTTGTGCTTGGTGGAACATCAATAGCAAAGGCCAGGCATTGCTGCTTCAAGCTGTGCAGGTACAAATTCACAATTTTGAAAAAACAATTGAGGCCTTACCTTTACTTTTGGCAAATTATCATTCACACCTCTTAAATATTGTTTCTTATGGTCTACATGGCCAGTACCATAATTTTCCTCAAACTGTGCAAGTACCTTCTAATGCTGTTCTGCTTTTGCACATAGATAAAGCCCATTTTCATTGTATTACAGACAAGGCTTACAGTGGCCCCCTTGGAAACTGAGGAAATGACAAAGCTGAACTGTATTCCCCAAAGGTAAATATTGTACGGTAATTCCCACCAAGACACAAAAAATAGTTAACATGGTGCAACTCACAGCTCATGACAACTTCTTTGAAAGACAACAAAAGATGTAAAAATTAAAGCAGTTTTTTTCTCTCTCACATATTACATACTTGGTTATAATCAAATTGCGAAGGTAATACAATAGATGAAAAGTGTCCTATTTTCGGTCAATACATTCATTCCGTGCAAAACTTTCCTTGTAATACATGCTGTTGGAAACTGAAACTATGCCAAATTAAATATAATTTCAAAGGAGACACAAAGATATGAAACATAAATACTAATAATAATGCTTTTCAGACTACATTTAATGCCAGACAGTTCAGATAGCATGAAATAAAACTGGGATACAATATACATTAAGATTACAGACTGACATATATCAGACAAAGGAAATCACTTCAAATGTTTAAAGATGTGAATTAAACTCCTTTCTTAACATAAAAACCTCCACAGAAAACTTTCTAAAATCACGCAAAAATACACAATTTGAAAGCATGCAACAAACCCCACTGTATTTTATGTAACACGTCGGTGCCAATTGCCTCTACATGTTAAACCCAAACTCTTTCATGTTCTGTTCACTAATTCACCTCTAATTCACTCGTCTCACCTTCTCTCACTCATTTCCACCACTGAGAATTTCCTCTTAGATCTGTCTTTCACTTCATAAAGCCCTCTCGACTCACGTAATCCCCCCAGACAAGTTAAAAAACCCTCAAATGTTTTAAAAAAACCGAGAGAGAAAAAATTACCTTTCTTTCACGCCACGTATTATTTTTTTTCCTTTTTCCCTCTTTCAACCCTCCTTTTATTTCTCCTCTCGTGTCTGTTCACGTCTCTATAGTTACCTCTCTGTTGAAGATGAGTAGAGTTGCTCCCCAAGTTGTATAATGTCCCCTTACGTAAGGACGCGGCCGACAGCACCTTCCTTCCTCACGCCCGCATCAGACTACAGCTGATGGAGACGAGGGGATGGCTGCTCCTCCCTACAGGGTCACGCGGGCGACTTCTTCCTATCTCTGGTTGGGGGGAATCCACTTATCTTGTGTAAATACTCGGGGATTTAAGACCTGAAGGTGGATTTTCATGGTTTTATATGGTTTGGGGTATAGGTTTGAGGGTTTTGGGGGTTTAGAAGGGGGAGTTAAGGTGGGTGGGTTTGGTGTAAAGGGTTCAGTTTTGGTCCACCCTGTACCCGCGGGTGACCAAGCCTGTCACCCAAGGCCAAGGCTTATGTCGGCTTGCTGGTGAAAATCTCTCTTCCTCGAGGTTCTTATGAATTCCCAGGCATGTGTAGTTCGAATACGTGTTGGCCGTTGGTATGGCGAAATAATGTAGAGTTCGCTGTTCTTCGCAAATGATTTATGCAAATATACATCGTTCAGTTTTTGAGGAAGATTTTTTTCCAAACTGTTGGTGATTTACCTGTGATTTTGAGGGTTGTCATTTGTATAGAGCATCTCACAGGAAACTGGAATAAGCTGGTAATTATTTATTATCGGATATACAAAGGGAATATGCTTCCGTACTAGAGCTATGGTAAAAGTGCAAAGTCATGCTTGATTGCACATTCACTATGATATAGTAGTTAAGAACGACTGCATATATCACAGTAATTATACCACAGTAATGTACCTTCATTGGAACTGGAACAAGCATACATTAAAAATTCAGAATCAGTAATTTTCAGCGCCATTAAAACACCTAAATCTTTAGATAAAATGAGACAAGATTATGAATTATTTATTCATTAATTCGACGATTTTCTCGGCTGTTATCTCAGTTTAAACGCAACCCTTTTAAATAAAACACACAGTAACTCTAAAAAAATTGCATAAGATCCGTTTGCATGTTAAAAATTCAGAGCACAGGTTGAGTTCTGACGTAATATGAATAAAAAATGTCCAAGCAATTTATTTACCTGTTTATCTGCCAGTCTACCAAATCCGTGCCTCTGTGTGTGCGTGTGTGTGTGTGTGTGTGTGTGTGTGTGTGTGTGTGTATGTGTGTGTGGGTGGGTGGGTGGGTGGGTGGGTGTGGGTGCGTGCGTACGTGCGTGCGTGCGTGCGTGCATGCGTGCGTGCGAGCGCGCGCGCGCGCGCGCTTGTGTGTGTGTATGTGTGTGTGTGGGGTGTGTGTGGTGTGTGTGTGCGTGTGTGTGTGTGTGTGTGTGTGTGTGTGTGTGTGTGTGTGTGTGTGTGTGTGTGTGTGTGTGGTGTGTATGTGTTTGTGTGTGTGTTTGTGTGTGCGTGTACTTTCAAATGTGCAGTGTGATAGAGCAGATCAATAGACATTCAACTGTGTAAGCAAGTATATTGCACTGTTCTCGATCTTTCTCAAGTTTGTTAATTAACTCATCCACTCTCCCTCTCTTCCGTATCCCCCCCCCTCCCTCTCCCTCCCTATCACTCTCCTCTCCCTCCCTCCTTTCCTCCTTCCCATTCTCCATCTTCCTCCCTCCTTTCCTCCTTCTCTCCCTCTCCGCCCCACTTTCCTCCTTCTCATTCTCCCTCTTTCTTTTCCTCCTTCCCTCCCTATTCTTCTCATTATCCCCTCTCCCTTCCTCCTTTCCTCCCTATCACTCTCCCTCTCCCTCTCTCTCCTTCCTCCTTCCTCCCTCTCCCTCTCCCTCCTCCTTTCCTCCTTCCATCCCTCTCCTTCTCATTCTCCTCTCCCTCCTTCTCTCCCTCTCCGTCCCCCCCCCTTTCCTCCTTCCCTCCCTCTCCTTCTTATTCCCCCTCGCCTTCCCCTCTCCCTTCCTCCTTTCCTCCCTATCACTCTCCCTCTCCCTCCCTCTCCTTCTCTCTCCTTTCCTCCTTCCTCCCTCTCCCTCCTCCCTCCTTTCCTCCCACCCTCCTTCCCTCCCTCTCCTTCTCATTCTCCTTCTCCGTCTCCTTTCCTCCTTCCATCCCTCTCCTCATTCTCCTCTCCCTCCTCCTTTCCTCCCACCCTCCTTCCTCCTCTCCTTATTCTCCTCTCCCTTTCTCTCTCTTCCCATCCAAACCTTCCCTCTCGTATTTCAGTTCGCGCTTACTTCACACAAATTCGTAATATTTGCTTCGTGTCTCAGAGGCGAGGCAGACACGGCGATCGCACGTATGCAAAGTAAGAAATGTTTGCAATGGCAGAGTGGGAGGCAACTCTCTCTGTCTCTGTCTCTGTCTCTCTCTCCTCTCTGTCTCTGTCTCTCTCTGTCTCTGTCTCTGTCTTTCTGTCTCTCTCTTCTCTCCTCTCTCTCTCTCTTCTCTCTCTCTCTCTCCTCTCTCCTCTCTCTTCTCTCTGTCTCTCTCTCTCTCTGTCTCTCTCTCTCTCTCTCTCTCTCTCTCTCCTCTCTCTCTCTCTCTCCTCTCTCTCTCTCTCTCTCTCTCTCTCTCTTCTCTCTCTCTCTCTCTCTCTCTCTCTCTCTCTCCCCCGGCACAAAGGAATTCGTTCATCCTTTCTTACGTGCAGGATTGCATGCCCGGAGTTCCTGTGTTCTGTTCTAACGCCTATGTGTGTTGTGTTTTTTTTTTTTTTTATAAGCCTATTTCATGGTATTTCGTGCGTGTAGGTCTACATATTCCTACGACCCTATCCATTTCTACCACGCGCGGTCAGACTACTTGGAAAGCGAGTTCTTAATTTCCAAATCAGATATTGCAAATGGGATAGAATCAATTGAAATCAGATCTCGAGAAGGCGAAGCGGTTGCAAAAGGATGTGCTGCTTGTTGAGTATATTCAGCTATCTCTTTCCAAGCATTTGCAGTCGTCACGTCCACCGAAGTGATGTAATAGAGTGCGAGAGCAAGAGGGCGGACTTTTAAAAGCTATCGGCCTACCTTTTCTTTTTAGACAAGGTATTAAATGTTGCCTTGTTCGTGTTCTTAAACTTACTGATTTTTAAAAGTCTATCGGTTTACTATTTCTTTTAGACAGGGTATTAAATGTTGCCTTGTTCGTGTTAAACTTAATAATTTTAAAAAAGCTATCGGCCTACCTTTTCTTTTTAGATAGGGTATTAAACATTGCCTTGTTCGTGTGTCTTAAACTTACTGATTTTTAAAAAGTCTATCGGCCTACCATTTCTTTTAGAAAAGGTATCAAATATTGCCTTCGTGTTAAACTTAATATATTTTTTTTTTAATCTATCGGCCTACCTTTTCTTTTTAGACAGGGTATTAAATGTTGCCTTGTTCGTGTTCTTAAACTTACTAATTTTTAAAAGTCTATCGGTTTACTATATCTTTTAGAAAAGGTATCAAATATTGCCTTGTTCGTGTTAAACTTAATAATTTTTAAAAAATCTATCGGCCTACCATTTCTTTTTAGATAGGGTATTAAATATTACCTTGTTCGTGTTCTTAAACTTACTTATATTTAAAAGTCTATCGGTTTACTATTTCTTTTAGAAAAGGTATCAAATATTGCCTTGTTCGTGTTAAACTTAATAATTAAACAAAATATTGGCCTAAGCATTTCTTTTTGACAAGGTATTAAATATTGCCTTGTTCGTGTTCTTAAACTTACTGAATTTTTAAAATCTATTGGTTTACTATTTCTTTTGGACAGGGTATCAAATATTGCCTTGTTCGTCCGTGTTAAACTTAATAATTTTTAAAAGTCTATCGGCCTACCATTTCTTTTAGACAGGGTATTAAATGTTGCCTTGTTCCTGTTCTTAAACTTACTGATTTTTAAAAGTCTATCGGTTTACTATTTCTTTTAGAAAAGGTATCAAATATTGCCTTGTTCGTGTTAAACTTAATAATTTTTAAAAAATCTATCGGCCTACCATTTCTTTTTGACAAGGTATCAAATATTGCCTTGTTCGTGTTAAACTTACTCATTTTAAAAATCTATCTGCCTACTCTTTCTTTCAGACAGGGTATTAAATATTGCCTTGTTCGTGTTCTTAAACTTACTAAATTTCGAGGAAATGTATTCGCGGGGTAGAAAAAAATCTTAGTATTTATACCCATACCAAGATCACGAGATATATATCAAGTAATTTTGACTCGTACGTTTTTTTCAACCAGCCACTGCCAGGAAGTGTGTTTCTGCATATCGCGAGTTCATTTAGCACTTTTTATCTGTATATCCTTAATCTTTTCTCTTTCATCACGTAAGCTTTTCTCAATATATTTCATTACATAACCGTAAACTATATTCATATCCATTTTATCCCATACATTAGTCCTTACAGTGAAATATAATATCTAACAGTACACTCTATCTACACTTACACACACACCTTTTCAACACCTTCATTCCTGCAACCTCAATTGTCACCGCAAAACGACAGGTGTTGCCCATTCCTTCTGCATTCTTTGCAACACCGGCCTTCATCTTCATAAACCCAAAGCAGGGATGAAGGCGGGAGTTTTTGAAAGAGGATATGGAGGCATTCCGGTGGAGTATGTTCTTGCATTCCGGTGGAGTATGTTCTTGCATTCCGGTGGAGTATGTTCTTGCATTCCGGTGGAGTATGTTCTTGCATTCCGGTGGAGTATGTTCTTGCATTCCGGTGGAGTATGTTCTTGCATTCCGGTGGAGTATGTTCTTGCATTCAGGTGGAGTATGTTCTTGCATTCCGGTGGAGTATGTTCTTGCATTCCGGTGGAGTATGTTCTTGCATTCCGGTGGAGTATGGTCTTGCATTCCGGTGGAGTATGTTCTTGCATTCCGGTGGAGTATGTTCTTGCATTCCGGTGGAGTATGTTCTTGCATTCCGGTGGAGTATGTTCTTGCATTCCGGTGGAGCATGTTCTTAGGTGCAGTGTTGCCGCTTTAGAATATTGACACCAGCTGAGGATGCCCCTTATGTAGACATACATATTCACACGCTGCGCACACGCAACGCACACACACGCGTGCGCGAGCGAACACACACACATATACTATATCTATCTATATATATATGTATGCATGTATGTAATATACATACATACATACATATATATATGTTATATATGTATATATATATATATATATATATATATATATATA